AGCAACAGGTCCCAGAATAATAACTCTTTACTGAACGGCTCCAACAGCCTGACCTCGTGTCTGGATCACAGAGAGAGAGAGAGAGAGCGAGAGAGCTGACGACTTGAAGAGAGGTCAGATATGGAGACGAAAGCAAACAAAGCAAGAAAACACAAAATAATGACAAAAGAGCAGAAGAGGAGTAGAAGCAAAGGTCTCCCCTAAAGCAAAATATATAATCTCTTTAGTAAAAAACTGGCAAGAAGAAAAGCTGAAACACCTGATGCACCTGTTGCTCTGTAGGTGAAATATTGAGCATAATACAGGTATAAACCCTGAATAATGACACATAGACCATTCATTGTTAACTGCTGAATGCACCACAGACACCTGAGTGAGGGGATGTGGCTGGACACTGAGGTTAAGTGATCGAACACAACAGAACAGTGGTTCAACAGTGAACACAATGCAACCGTGATCGGTGTAATTCTTTTTCCGTTTGTTTCCACCTCCGGTTCAAACCTGAGACAAGAGGCACCGCAAAGTATCACCGCCAACGCTGGCATTTGTTCCTTTCACCGACGAGGCAACACGTGTCTCGCTCTTCTTTCCAGACTAAATCATTGTCTCGGTTTGACTGATAGTGCAACACACACACACACACACACACACACACACAGGCGGTGGATTTGTGCTTTTTGAAGTGATAAAGCAGCAGCATATGCTGCAGCAGACACTGTGACCTGTGGAGACTGATTAAGACTGGAAACAAAGGCAGAGCTGAGGAACTCATTAGCACCTCTGAAAGTCTTTATCTTCCACAACACAACAGGAGCAGGTTCCTGAACTCCCGGCACCCCCACAGCCACACAGCTGCAATTAACACTCATTCATAATTCAACTTTTCTGCCGTTTAAACTGACTGTTGGGGACAGATTGCCATTAAATCAGGCACCTCGTTCCTTGCTTGTTATTTTAATTGTTATATCCAAGTATTAAAGAATATTAACAACTGGTAAAGACTTAAAAAACCACATTAGTCATATATCAGTTATATTTGTGGAGTCTCTTCTTGTGACACAGACATCTGTGTTTTCAGACACAGTTATGTCTCAACTTTCCGACCTTGAAGTTATCGCAGGACGAGCTCATGAAAAGTCACCCTGAGCCCAGCGGCACCGTCCCATTTCACCGTTGCATCTATCTAGCGCGACCATTTGCAGAGGTGTCTGAAAAACCCCACATGGCTATTGTATTGTCCCTGGTCTTAACGCTGTTGGTCAAATTACATCTACTGTGCCTCAGTCTCTGAGCCTGCGGTTTTTCTGGGTTTGGAAACTTTAGCTGCTCCTCAGGGAAAGACAATATATCTGTCTGTGACGGCGTTTTCACAGAAACACTAACGCAGCTTCCTAGCTTGTGTAGCAGGTCCAGATATTACATCTTCATTCAGTTACAACTGTCTCAAGATAGAAATGTCCACCAAATTATACATTTAATGTGCTGTCTAATGAAATTTGGTAATTATTTTTTATTATATGTATTAACAATATAATGTTTGACAAAATGAAAACTTTGAAGGTCCCATATTTTATACTTTCCCTGAGTTTAATTTGAAGTTTTGATTTCCATTTACGGTTTTAATCAGAAGGAGAGAGGAGGCTCTGACCCTGAGGGCGGTGACTGCTTCGTTGTGACATCACAAAGTTCCAGAAGTCCTGACGGCTGGTTTTAAGGCTCAGTTTCTGAATACAGGCTGTGTGCATTTCTCTGTGGACTGAGGCTTTGATACTTTCACAGTATTAATATAGAAGCTAGAGCTGATCTATAATCACACTACACATAGAAATCCATCTTTATTACAATAAGGGACCTTTAACAAAAGGACCAGGTTCTCCCTTGTATTTCTGCTTAAGATGAAAAAGCTAATGTAAGTGGATTTTGTGTAATGATTTTTTTTTTCAGGCACAATTACTCTACTGTTCTGTGAAAGTAACTGAGGGATAGAACATATTACATAATCCTACTATATGTGGCTTTTTTGCAAACAATGGGGCATCTATGCAGCACTACAGGGCAGGAACACAGTGCTACGGAGGCTAACAGTTTAGCTATCATGCACACTGGCAGCATTTAGATAATAATTACGTAAAATAATAATAAAACACAACATATCTTGCTGGGAAACTACAAATTAAATTTTGAAGAATGAATGCCACGTCTTCACGACAGACAACAGACAGCACTAGCTAGCTAACATGACGCAGACGTGTTGAATTACAGGTGAGGAATGGCAGCGAGCAGCAGTTACTTGTGTTCTTACTAGCCAAAATAAATCTGAGCCAGGCTAACGCACTTAAGCTATCCTTGTGGAAGAAAAACTGAGGAAGTAAAAGGAATAAACGTGAAAAAACTGCTGAAATGTATTGCAGCTCCTATCTTAAATGAAGTGCACAGTGTCACTAAGCCTCGTCACAAACGCTACCAAGATAGATTCTTGTACATGTATTGTAGCTGCCGATTAAATGTTGGCCCTTTTGTTCAGCGGGGAAAAGCGGTGATGAATAAAACTATTCAGAACGCCCACAATACAAATGTTCCAGGGGTAATTGAACAATAAATCCTTACACACTTTAGGCACCACAGACCTCCGGCATATTGCCTTGGTGGACGTGTTTGTGTTTTGCCAAAAAGCATTTGTCCATTTGGTAATTACCTCTAAGTCAAACAGAAAAGGACGGCCTATAAAAAGCAACGGAAGACAGTGTAATCCACAAGACGCTCTGCTCCTCACTAAATAATAAACCCATCTTATCGAGTTAGCAAGATGGCAGCCTTTATTCCATCTGTGTGCAGCTGGGTGATGAAGTGGAAGATGGGGTTTTTTTTTTGTTTTGTTTAGATTTTTTTTGTTGGACTACACACCTCTTCCATCTCCCGCGCCGCTGCTTGTTTTAAATGAAACCCTGTGACGGCACCGAGGAGCTAAATGCAGACACCGGTTAATTAGACTTGTTAAAGAATCGGTTTTTTAGACCATCTTCCCCACTCTTTGTTGGTTCACCCCCTTAAAACTGAAATGAGAATTACGACGCCAGCGGACGAGTAATTAGTTTGAGACGGGTGGAATCCCCGCTCGCTCGGCAGAATCAAAGAGGAGAAGAGATGATGGATTGTTTGTGGCTATTTGCGCGCGAGAGGGAGGGTGAGACGGAGCGATGGAGACAGAGGCTTTAATCGTGTTACATTGTCCTGAGAGGCAGGCTAAGTGCATTACCACCATTGTGTCAGGAGTGCTGTTGTCGCATCGGGACTGCTGTGGAATGTGTAGAGCGTGTTCTCCGGGCTCGCAGCAGAGACGAGGCTCGTGTCTAAACTCAATCAGCGGCAGATAATACGGCAGTCTCTTCACATTGTGTACAGTTTACTTCCTCTCTTCACACACACAAAAATAAAGAAAAGTGTGAAGGCCCTGAACAGAATAATGGACTCCTGTGACAACCGCACGTCGCCGGATTCTTTTGTGAGAAGCAGTTGTTGTTTTTAAATGGACAGTAAATAAGCACATTGTGTCGGTGAAGATGAGAGTTTGCTTTCCTGCGACATCAGACCTGAGACGAAAAAATTAGCTTTAACGACTAAAAGCGGCTGCTTTGATCAATCAACCTGAAGAGTAATCCCGACAGACTTGGCACGATTATGCAAGTAAAAGAAAAGCTTTTTGTTTTTTATCCACCTCTGCAAAAAATAAAAAGTAAAAAATTTACTGGAAATTGACTGGAAATCTCGGATGTTTTCACATCTGAGTATCACCTGGATATTTTAAGAGCTTATAGTTTTGCACGACAGAAGATCATGTTGTGACAAATGTATATGTTCGTCTCTAACACTATAAAAGAACATACTGAAGCATCCATTACTTATATGGCACAATATTACATTATCAAATCTAGATCTACTCTAAAGTCAAAAGTGTCGGCGCTGAGAGGAAGCCTGACAGAAATCCATTCCTCTGAGTTTAAAGGTGCTGCAGTATCTGTAGTTAATGTGGAGTTAATGGCTTCAGGATGGAAACTTCATCCCTTTCAAGGTTCTGTAATACCAACAGATCAAATGACTGTGTTTTCTCTGCTGCTGAACATGGTTTCTTATCAGGAGCAGGTGGTGGTGGTGACTGTTGCTCGACAAGAACTTGAGCCATCGTTGTGTTTATTCAGGGCAGATCGGAGGTTAGCGTGCTAACTTCAGCGGAAGAAAAGACCAGATAGAGACGAGATTTAATGTCGGCGTTGCTTTTGGTGAGGAGCAGGAACGAAGTTTGACGCTGAATGCACACCAGCTTCTTCTAGACTGGCAAGTACACAGCTAATTAATGCTAACGTTAGCTATGCAGCGATAGCAAAACTTACAAATAGCTCCTTTGACAACTTTATACAGCAATAACATGTCATCGTTTTTATTTGTCGTTAATTATGTCTAAAGAATACTGCACTGATTAATTAAGGATGATAAAAAAACTACATGACGATCACTGAATATGCACCTCAGCTGCATTTTAGCACCTGAGATTCCTCATGTTAACTTAAAGAGACAACCTGATAGCGAGAGATCACACTGCAACTCAAAGGGAAACTGAGACCTACCAGTTGCATCTATATATTCCACTCTGATATATGTTAATTGTGTAAATTCATAAGAAAACAACAGTATAAATATATGTACCAAGTAACTAAGCAGTGTCTGTGGTGAACAGAGAAGGAACACAATCCAGTGCACCAGAGGAACGCAAGAACATCGCACCCTCAAAAACTTCAAAAGCAAAACAACAGTGTTTTTGAAACTGTGGCCTGAAGCACGGAGATGAAATCTGGATAGAAATCAAGGAGCGCATCGCTAACGTGACCAGCTCTGAAGCCGGTCACCTGCATGAGCACAGCTGACACACACACAGGCAGAGTGTACGGAAGAGGATCTGACACACACACACACACACACACACACACACACACACACACACACACCTGATGCTAGTCATGCTTCCAGTCTCAGAGCCAAGCTTGCATCTCTCCAGCTGACTGGCAACAATCTGTCGTTCGGCTTCCAGCTCCCTGGTCAGACGTTCAAACTGCAACTCCTGGAAACAAAGACAGAGAGAGAGAGAGAGAGAGAGAGAGAGAGAATGTGTCAAAACAATCTGTCTATTTATTTACTGTCGCATCTACAGTCATCCTGATCATTATTTTGTCTCCGTCGTCTCCGGCACATTTTTAATTGATGTGAAATGGTCTGTGGTGGGAAAAACACAGCAGATATCACCAGGTCTGCCAGTTCCACGCTGCCAGATCTCCCACTGAGCAGCGTTTGATAACTGTGACACCAGACTTAAGCCCGTCACAAACGTGACACTTGTTACCCTGCGACCGGGGAACAACCCGCACAACAGATGAAGTTTAGGAGGAAGAATTGTGTTAATTTTTTATTTTTTTATTTTTTTTACATGACGTGTCAGAATAACAAGAACGCATTCGTGTAATTCCTTCCTGACAAATCATCTATACACTGAAACTGCTGTTACCCTGCGGCGGGAGACATGAGGGGAGAGGTGGGAAAGGAAGTCAAGTCAGAACCCATCAGCAGCTGCTAGCATAGCGCCACCTGCAGAAAACACGGTCGCCACACTCCACGCCAACTCTAAAATGTACGGCCTGAATCTGAATCGATAAATAAACACTGAATATTTAAATACAGTGCAGCTCCAAGATGTGCTCGTTGCTGAATACATGAAGCATGGTCACCTGCGGATAATACGCAGCTTCATTGTGGAAATTCTCGCCGTTCAGAAAAAGGAGAATAAAACCTTGAGACTGGAGAGGCAGCAGGAACACTGACAAAACAAAAATCATCCATTCTGGTGACCCGTGGGTCTCGTGAGCAGGTTTCCATTCAAATTTAATGCAAATTTTTACATGAATTTCTATAAAAATCTGCAAAAAATGAAAATGCAAATGAGAGTGCATTTCCATCGACTGCTGTCATGTGTTATTAAGCGTTTGTTCATTGAGATAAACAGCTGCAGCGGAGGGCGTGAGACCACAATAATCAAAAGAGCTCCAATCAAACGTCAAACCAGCAGAAACTATTTATGTATTTATGTGTATTTTGTGTTTTAATATGAGGAACGTTAGCGTCTCCTCATCGCTCCACACACATCTGAGGCTTTGTGTCTCCACGGTGGAGCGGAGGAGACCTCGGCCAAACAACAAACATTTCATTGATATGATATTCAAACGTGGGATATTTGAATCTCTGGTGTTTCTGTAAATAATATATGCATAAACACTTATATGTGCATAAGTATCTGTAACAAGATCCACGAGGAGGCATGTGTTTAAAAGAGCGCTTCTTAACTGGAATATATAGAGATACACAGACACAAAGTCTCTGAACAGCGTTTCTTCTTTTCTTGCATTACTCCCATTGTTTTTATGCTTGATTTATGTCGTTTAGTGTGAGGATAAATAACCACTCATTACCTGAAACACAAACAAACCGACGGCTGATTATAGTATTCGGTGTCTGCTGCTGCAATCATAATAGCCCATTAAACATAACTGATATCAGCATTTTGTGCAAAACACAAATTAATCCAATTGGGTTGTGTATCGTTTAGAATCAGCGGAGGAACACAAAGCGTCTTTACGCTGGAGCGCTGGTTCTGACGCTTTTCTGGAAGTTTCCAGAAAATAAAATTCATGGGTCAGACCGCACCCGTCTTCAAACTCAACTAAAAACCTGGGCACATCTGTGACTTCCTGTTACAGTAGGCGTCTCCAGGACCACATGTCGCCATGATGAGACACACACACACACACACACACACACACACACACAAGGTAAAAAACAATATCAGCCATGCAGCTGGTAATCATTTTTGAATGGGTAATATAATCAGTCGGCGCTCCTCAGGCAGCATTTGAATACAGAGAAGCTATTCAGTGAGAGAGCTCCTCTAAACGCTTTAAAAGTTTATATTTGAAGTTTTCTGACCTGCAGGTGGGTGGACCTGCATATCTTTCACATGATTTGACGGGCAGCTCACGTATGCACATAGATCATATCTATATAAATTCAAGTGGGAAACAAGACACTTTGATAATGTTGTGCTGAAACAATCAGACAATAACTCTGCTAGACAAATGGCCTGTTGCACATGCAACACTCCACCCTCACACAGCTTCCAGCCAAGATAAGCTGAATACATCCAGAAATCAACTGCACGTCATTAAAAGTGAATAAAGAGCCAGACTGCTCTGTTTGCACAGACACGGTCGGAGAAACGACACAACTTCATAACAGTTTTAACATTTGAAAAAACCCTTAAAATGCATTTCCCAGTAAGAAGGAACATTAATGCTGTTTCATAGTAATTACAGTTTTGTGCCTGAGAGGACTGACGCGGAGCAGAGTGCTGGTCTGTGGGAGCTTAAACACTGATGATGCCTGAGGCAAATCCAGCCTCTCCACCATAATAATACAATTTGATTATAATGAATCATTAATGTAAATTGCAAATTTCACTATAATTATGCACCATCATCTATTAACGGTGACTAGACACACACACACACACAGGCACATATATATATAGAAACATGGCTGCCCCACATGTGCACGCACACACACACACACACACACACACACACACAAGCGTAAATGTTGTTTGTATTAATTGTGCAGATTGTGTACACAGCTTACAGAGTCACACAGAAAGAGACTAACTGCTGTGTCATACAGTGGATATACAGCCTCACTGAGAGAGCGCCATAAAGTTTCCTTTAGACTTCATGAAATCTCCAACTGTCGTACATGTTCTGCTGTAAAGCACCAAATCTAACTCGGACAGTCGCGGAGAAGAACATGTTGTGAAGGCAGGACAGTCTGTTGATGTTAACACGCTGTAATGCTCACACACACACACACACACACACACACACACTGCTGTGAGGTGTGAATACTATTAAAGAGCGACAGAAACATGCAGACTCTTCCCTGTTTGCCCAACAAGAATTGGTATAAAAGAATAAATAAAAAATAAAAACCACCTGTGCTCAGATGTATTTGAGCTGAATTTAATGAGCAGATAATAAAAAAAATAAAAGCCTGGTAATAAAACGTCCTTTTTAGCAGTTATCAGAGGCACATGGGCGAGTTCAGTGTCTATGATCTCACCAAGTAAAGTCTGATTGGAAGAGAAAAAGATGCCACAGATCACATCGGCTGACTTTCCGACCCGTGACTACTCAGTGCTCGTGGGTCACACCACACCCATCTTCGAGCTCTGCCTCCATTCTGATCTCCACCACGCACCTGTGAAGTTTCATGACCGCATGTTGCACGGTTTGCGACGCTAAACACCTGTCAATCTACTTAAAACCACCTGTGTGATAGTTGCTGTTACAGTAGGTGTCTCCGGGGGACAACACACACACACACACACACACTCACTCACTCACACACGGTGAAAACAATACCAGCCACACTGTGGCGGCTGGTAACAATCCTTTGATGCAAACCCAGATCAGCCACCTTACTACAAAGCCACATCTCTATTTACATCTCAAACATCGCTGCACGCTTTTTCCCTCTGCCGTCTGACTTTTTCCAGTCAGATCAATCTGAACCTCCTCATCAGCTGATGTAAAGACGAGTAAAACCGAGGTAAAAAAACAAACTACTTTGAGGCAACATCACCACAGCAGATGAAAGAAAAGATAAAAAAGCTGGTGTTTCCCCTCCCTCCCCTCCTCCGCTTGTTTGGCGCTCCTGCGGCTGAGAGCGTAGGGAGGTTAAGCAGGCTGACTAACTTCGCTGGATGGCGAGTCGTGAGAATTTGGTTGTAAAGCTCCTCGATAAAAACAGCCAAACAAAAGCGATGGCTTCCCCACCACCACCCCCTCCTCCTCCTCCTCCTCCTCCTCCTCCTTTCCTTCCAATCTCTGCTCCCTCCAATTCAAGGCTGACGGACAGACACCTGTTACTGCGGAGGAAGGAGCACAGACCCTGGTGGAGAGGATTCGGACTCTGTAATGATGGTGGAAAATGGGGAAATCAAATAAAAAAAGAAAGAGAGCGGTGCAGACATACCTTCACATGGACCATACTTCACAGAGAGACACACAAAAAACCACAGGGTATCCCGCCTTTCTCTGCTCCCCTCCGGTCAAAAAGGCGTCAACACTGGTCTCCCTCCTCCAAACACTCATCTGTCCTGGGTCAGGACGCAGCCAGCGACAGAGAGACAGTGAGAGAGAGACTACAAGTGTCACTTGAGCTGACTGCAACTCAGCCCCTCGCTCTCTCTCTCTCTCTCTCTCTCTCTCTCTCTATGTCTCTTTCTCTGTCCCTCCTCAGGGGCCATGAAACACACACACACACACACACTCACACACACACAGTGTTCACTGAGGCACAAAGGTCCCCATGGCAACGGAGCATTTAGAAGCCCCGTGGCATTATTTATGCAACGTTGCATCACAATGGGCCCTCCCACCGGCCGACCCTGCCAAAAAAGCCCGCTGCTCGCCAGTCACTCTCTGCCTCTCTCTCTCTCTCTCTCTCTCTCTCTCTGACCAGACCATCTGCACCCCCTCCTCCTCCCCCCTCCTCCCTCCTCTCCCCCACCCACCATCACCATGAGCAAGGAGGGATTTTGGGAGAAGCAGGAGACACAAAAGATGGAAGGGGAGCAAGATGGAGGGAGGTGCACACACACACACTGAAACAGTAGACTCATGCCAACACAGACACACACACACACATGCCTTCACACACTCGCAGGCCATATCCACATGCCTACACACACACACACACACACACACACACACACACACACACTGCGTGTTCTGCCTCAGTGAAATTCTATGGGCTGAAACGGGATGTAAGGAGAGTATGGGGGCAAAAAAGCAAGTTAGCTGGAGTGAATTCAAGCGCACACACACACACACACACACACACACACACACACACACACACACACACACACATACCTAACCTACACCGAGTTGTGACATGGTAAGACTTTTTTCTTTTTCATACCAACAGCCTCTCTTCTCTACACAGACGGAGAATTTGAAA